CATCTATACTTGTTCCAATGAAACTCAGAGACTTCCCTGGATTTTCTTTTCCTCATTCTCTGAATTTTAATCTGTGTTTTTAGCCTTTGAGTTAACTGAGAAGCCTTTTCGTTCTGTGAACTAAGCACATTCCTTCAAAACCACAGGCATCCACTTCTCATTGGATTTATGACAATCACAGCATTGGCATGCAGGTATTAAAAAAACTCAGTTTGCTTTTCCCATCACACCTCTGGTTACCTCAGGGAACCCCTCTTCAGTGTAGAAGGGGTAAAGATAATTTCTGTCATCTAAACCATGTCCAAGTACTCCACAGTATTCTGTAGCGATCTGTCCTTTCCTCTGTACATTTCTACAGCTCTAGCCATTGAATCATATTAAAAGTTTTGCTCTCCAGAAGAAGGTGGAGTTTCAAAGAAAAGTGGTTCCAACAGCTTCCCTTCCCTTCTTCAGAATAGCTCCCTTAGGATACTCCTTTCTGCAGCCTGATGAGTTTATGAATTAAACTATTTTCAAGGATGGAATGGCCTGAGAGCATTCTAAACTTTAGGACTTCACCCTTTGTTCAACACACAACATGGGTTATTCTGAGTATTTAATAAATATTTAATGCAGCGGAGTCAGTACCTTTGTAAAAAAAAAAAGAGCTAGAAAAGGTTTTAAAATTTGCTGTTTTCCTATCAGCACACTGTCATACATAAATGGGTGGATTATATCTCAAAGTAAAAGAGTAAAGAGTAAGAAAAATTAAGAATAAAAGAGGTAAAATCTCTCACATGGTTTGTGAGAAAGGGCAAAAATCCTTTTCTTGGCATTGCCTCTCTTTTTAGCTGATGGTTGGGCAGACTGTTCTGCAGAAGATATGGTAACTGCAGGAGAGGAAAATGAAAGTTGTAGTCTTTGCAACTAAAAAATATCAATTTAGGTGCAAGTATAATAAAAGTGCATGGCCTCCCACTCTGATAGCCACATAATTAGCAATATTTCTAATGATAACATAATTTACATTATAATTATTAAAAATTTTCTTATAAAAAGTTAATTGGGTTTAAAATGGCAACAATCTGATAGAAGCCAAGTTTCAGAATACATTAATGCGGATATTTGTATTCCTGATGTTCCTTTTTACTTTAGGTCCATTAAGGAAATAAAATTACTTTTCCTATATTTCCCCATTATGGTAAGTAGAATCTTATGGACTCGTGGCTACCAAACATAATTAAGTCATTTGAGTTCCTGAGCAGACAGGACTGGAGCTATACAAACATAAAACAAAGAGCCATTAGTATTCAGTGATTGAATCACTAAATATATATACTTTATTGCCATAAAGTACATCGTTTTCTCACCTCCAAGTAGTACATACTATTTTGCAAAGCTGAGAAATAATGGGTTTCTTCTGCTTTTATAATTAAAACATTGCTCTCGAAGTTTGTAAAGCTCACTGACGTAATCACATTAATGGTGAAGCTGGGCTTGCTTGTTTTGTTTTTAAGGAAAGTATTTAGGTTTGAACATAATGGTCATGGTGGTTTTAAAAACGAATATATTTAAACTAGAGGCAATGTAGTATGATACCATTTTTACCAAAATATTTTCTACCATTAATGAAAGGAAAAGGGATGACAGTAACCTATTACTATGGAAACTGTGGAAGGGTAAGCTAAAGAGAGACTTAAACATATATTAAAAAAAAGAAAAGTACAGAGAAGAGTGCATACATTATAGCAGGAAGATTTTGTACAGCAGCTGACAGATCTTCCTGACCATGAAGGCTATGAGAAACTACAAAGAAGTATTATGTGTTTTCTCCTGGAGATTAAAAACAACTCCACTTAGATATAATATTACCTAGAAAAAGAGACCTGGCTTAGCTAGTATCTTGAGATTCCCATGCTTCTTTCACTGGTGTGGAGAAAAAAAGACAGAAAAAAAGGACTCTAGACCAAGCCTATTGGTAAAACCCTCAGCTTGTCTACCCGAGCCCTATGGGGACTAGGCAGTTTTGAATAGCTGAGTTTTCTGGAGAGTTATATGTATATCATTCTAAGAATTAAAATTTTCGATAAAGGTACTACTAAAAATGTACTTAAATTCCCTGATCTTTTTTCTTCTTCCTTTAGACTTCAAAAAATTTTTTTACTATGAGTTATTCAAACTCAGTATAGAAATCAGGTAACATTTTCTGTTTCTTAAATAGAGTATATGAGACAGAATTCAAGGCTACAAAATAATGAGATCCTCAGTCTACACAGATATTTTCTGAAGCCCAATACTATGCTAAACATTCTATGTATGTGGTCTCATTTGGTCTCTACAAGCCAAGTGAGATAGGTGTTATTACTCCTATTTTAAAGATGAAGAAAACAAGGCTTTGGGAATTTATCAAGGACCCAAAGGAAGCCACAGAGCCTAAAATTCAAACCCTTTTGTCCAGTTCCAAAGACTGACCTCTTAACCTTCTCATAGGATTATATACGAAAGGGCCACATACTGCAATAAATTTTAAGGGCTCCCACACATGCATCCATTACACACACTTAATGATTTTTCAAACTTTCCTTGGTATCAGGTTCTCACTTTTCAAAGAACTATATTTTCTTCTTATGGTATCCCCACCACTTTTCTAGTTTGCTGCTTTATATTTACCTAAGCTTGGAAATATCAATAACAAAACAAGCTCATGGAATCTTGTGAAACACAAAGGAGACTTCCAATGGGTGAAGTATATCTAGACTTTGTGATTATACATATTATTTCCTACTCACAGCTCTGCTCTGAGAGATGAGAGGTTACTATTCTGGCTTTGAGAAATAAAAGCTATTACACTTGTCTAAACATGCATCAGCAAATCCTAAAAAATTAGCATACTCATAATCCAAAATGTTTTAACAAACATTTAGACAGTTACAGATGGAAAGGAACATCCCAGAGTCAAGAAACTTGGTCATATATGAGAGTAGAATAGTGACTGCATCTGCAGAAAATATGTTCATATACAAGTTACAAAAAAAATCAAATGTGCCATAAAACAAACAAGGCAGAGGAATGCATAAGGGTGTGGAGTGTCCAAACAAGAAAAGGAAGAGGCTCATTAGATGGTCTGTAAAAAAAACGTGAGTCCCACATTCAAAAGGAAGTTAGGAGACTGCTCCCAACTCACTCTGGCCCAAAAAGGCAAAAAAGGCAGAACATCAGAAAGAATAACAAAGTACAGCCAAAGGAAACCAGGGGAGTTTGATACAAATAAAAGAAGACTAACATGTGCTTTGTTGTTTTGCTTGGGGTAAGAACAGTGGATACGGAGGAAGAAGAAAGCTTGCCCTAAGGAGACACAGGGATATTATTTCAGTCTTGGCTGGAGTCAGCCCTGCTTATCTCCCACCAAATGTGGACAAATAAGAAGCCTCACAGAGCTATTTTCATCATATAAGCTTGGCAGGCATGCTGCTTTTAAACCTGATGACATATGCTACTATTTCATGTAATATATAAAGTTTCCTTTTGTTTGTGAGGTTGTTAATATGAAAGCTTCATTAATCAAGTTATCACTATAATTAAAAATTATCTGATTATAGTTTGCTAATATCTGATATTATAGTTATTTTGCAACTGCAGAACATGTATGTATGGGAAAAGGGTGACCCAGATGCCTGCAGGGGGATGATGGGTGGCAATATCAATTGTGCTTTTCTTCCACTGGCCTCTGTTTCCTGCTGGGCTCTCCTTTAAGAGAAAGAAGAAACATGATGCCACTCTGACCTGAAAATCTCTAACTCTTAGAAGGCAAAGTATTGATAGAGCTTAGAGTACAGTTTAGAGTCTGACGTTTCTAAAGACCTTCCTGAGTTGCTGCATGGGATGAGATTCTCAGAATAAGGTCTTGGCTAGATATTTAAGACTGAACCCCAGTTTCTACCCTTCCATATGACTTTCTCCTTAAGTCTGTTACTCCTTAAGCCTCCTTGTGTCTCCTTAAGTTTCCCTGTGTCCCTGTACTCTATGAGTCTGACCTGACACATCAGCAACTGAATTTTTCAGGCTAACAGCTTATAGTTACCCACTAAAAAGCAAAACAAAACAAAAATCAAGTTTGTAAGGAAGAAGGGATATTTGCTTGGAATGTAGTAAACATGGCCTCTCTTTGCCCTCTTTATACTTTATTCGAACAGAATTATAAAAAGTGACTATAATTTATAACCAGATAATTAAGAATTGATTACATTATGTCTGCATCCATTGTTTATAAATGTAAATGACAGTGTATCTCTTAGATGCTATGGATAATAGGGAAAAAAGTAGTCCTTAATAAAATGCAATATATTCACACAAATTTGAGTACTATTTAATAAGCTTATTAGCCATGGCAACTTAAACTTAAGCAACATGGTAAATACTTACTATATTCACGGGCAAAGAAGAATGCAAGAACTGCCTAAATACAGCATTAAAAAAATTTATATTCACTTCCAACTATTCTGTGGCTGTTAACATCATGGGGTGCTTTTAAAGGTCACAAACATTAAACTGTCTAGGAATATTCTGAATAGTAATATAGCATTACGTTGTGAACTTTACTGTCAAATTTAGGTCAATAAGGAGGAAAATAATAAAGTTAAGTAGTCAGAAAAGTATCAAAAAAAGTACAGTCATTTATATATACAGAGGACTTGAACAGTATAGATTCACTTCCAGTTGATTCAATCCTATTTACACATTTAAAATACAAAATACATCTTTTTTTTTTTGCGGTACACGGGCCTCTCACTGTTGTGGCTGTGGCCTCTCCCATCGCGGAGCACAGGCTCCGGACGCACAGGCTCAGCAGCCATGGTTCACGGGCCCAGCTGCTCCGCGGCACGTGGGATCCTCCCGGACCGGGGCACGAACCCGCAGCATCGGCAGGCGGACTCTCAACCACTGCGCCACCAGGGAAGACCCCCAAATACATCTTAATTGTCAAGAAGCTGACCACATTTAGCACCAGGAAAGGAAATTTACTTAGCCTTTGATCATGACCTCAGTATCTTCACACAGGAAAAGAAATGTTATGAAATCTCTATGTATTTATCACTATCAATTAAAAATTTTATTTTGAAAAGTAACTGCTGCATATCATCAATTCACAAGTGATTCTAAGGGAAGGAAACAAGTTGGGACTACTTGATATTGCGCACAACTCTCCTACAGTGGTTTGTTTTCATTTCTTCCAAGGCTTGTTCCAATTGCTGAACCAAATGAAGCAGGGTGGCTGGGTCTGTCTGCAGAACTTGGGTGTTGTGATCTCCGTTCTGATTAAGGTGCAGCTTTATAGTCACTGATGGTTTCATCTGTTGCCTGAGGCTTCTGCTTGCAAGCTTGATTTTAAATGGAATAAGAGCATAAGGACTATTTAATAATCATGCTAAACATATAATAATTATATTATACCATACATAAAAATCTAATTTCAGATGAATCACAGACTTCAAAAAGAAAAGTAAACTTTAAAACCTTTGGAAAGAGGGACTTCTCTGGTGGCGCAGTGGTTAAGAATCTGCCTGCCAATACAGGGAACACAGGTTCGAGCTCTGGTCCAGGAAGATCCCACATGCCACGGAGCAACTAAGCCCATGCACCACAACTACTGAAGCCTGCACGCCTAGAGCCCGTGCTCTGCAACAAGAGAAGCCACCGCAATGAGAAGCCCGTGCACCGCAACGAAGAGTAGTCCCCGCTCGCCACAACTAGAGAAAGCCCGCGCGCAGCAACAAAGACCCAAGGCAGCCAAAGATAAATAAATAAAGTTTATATATAAAAAAAAAAAAAACCTTTGGGAAAAAAAAAAAAGAAACCAGAATGTACAGTCAATCAGGATGTATAGTCAGCATGGAAGGGTTTCTTAAACATGCTATAAAGAAAAAAACTGATACACTGAACAATCATTAAAATTTCTTCGAAGGATACCTAAAAATGGTGGAAAAACAAGCCACAAACTGAGAAAAGATATTTTGTAACACATACAACCAAAAAAAAAAAAAACAACTTAGTATCAAGAATGTATATAGGGGCTTCCCTGGTAGCGCAGTGGTTGAGAGTCCACCTGCCGATGCAGGGGACACGGGTTTGTGCCCGGGTCTGGGAAGATCCCACGTGCCGCAGAGCGGCTGTGCCCGTAAGCCATGGCCGCTGAGCCTGCGCGTCCGGAGCCTGTGCTCCGCAACAGGAGAGGCCACAACAGTGAGAGGCCCGCATACTGCAAAAAAAAAAAATAATAATAATAATGTATGAAGAACTGCTCTGATTTAATACAAACCCCACAAAACCAAGAAAAAATTGTACAGAGACCTATCTAAGCACTCTGCAGAAGTAACACAAATAGATAAACATAGGAAATATGTTCAACTTTATTAGAAATCAGTAAAATGGCCAATAAAATCGTAAGATACTGTTTATCTGACTTGCAAGAATTAGAAACCTGTCCACAGGGAGCACTGTAAAGTGATGGTAATGAAAACTCTCATCCACTGCTGGTGAGAGTGAGGACAGAATCACTTTGGAAAACGTATACATGACCAGCAATTCCACTCCTAGGTATTTACCTTAAACTCTTACACATATACACATATTCATAATAGCATTTGCTTCCAAGAGTCCAAAACTAGACAAATCTGAAATATTCTTTAACAACAGAATGGATAAATTGAGAATATTCATACAGTGAAATGCTTACTAAATGATAGCAAAAGGAAGTGAACTACAGCAACATGAATTGTCATGAATAAATCTAAAAAGAAAACGTTCAATCAAAAAAGCAAGTTGCAGGGCTTCCCTGGTGGCACAGTGGTTAAGAATCCGCCTGCCAATGCAGGGGACACGGGTTCAAGCCCTGGTCCGGGAAGATCCCACATGCCGCGGAGCAACTAAGCCCGTGAGCCACATCTGTTGAGCCTGCATGCCGCAACTACTGAAGCCCGCGTGCCTGGAGCCCATGCTCCACAACAAGAGAAGCCACCTGAGCACCGCAACGAAGAGTAGACCCCACTCGCCGCAACTAGAGAAAGCCCGTGTGCAGCAATGAAGACCCCGACACAGCCAAAAATAAAAAAAGACAAAAAAAAAAAAAAGTAAGTTGCAGAAGAATACATGAAAATCTAAAAACTATACAGTCTAGTGAAAAAATATACATTAAAAAAACTATAAAGAAAAGATTAACAGAAAATTCAGGATAATAGTTACCCTTAGGGGGCTGGGAGGGGGTTGTAATTTGGGGAGGGTGATTCAAAGGTACTGAATGACAGTACTACAGGATAAAGAACAGCAGCCCACAAAGTTTTTCTTTCCACGAAGTTCCTGATATGGACTTATTTTTTTAATGGGGATGAAATTCTGTCCTTCTCCCTGTAAAAATAATAGCAGCAACTTTAAAAGGATCAGCCCTAAAGGTAACATTCTCCTGCGCCGGTTTCAGATGCATTCAATTTACTGATGCTATTTAACAAGTGCTGGCAATTTATGAAGTATGGGAAATGCTTCTATTAGAAACTAACCTATGATGATTCATTTATTTCCCATCAGCAACTGCACAATAATTAGCTGGTAACTATCCATTTGCTACCAGTCTCCATGAGATGAGTCAGCTACTCAAAAATGAAAGGTTCTATATCCTGTTACTAGTTTCCTAGCCATTTATCTGGTCTTCATCTGATAAGACTTCTTTACCTTCCTTCCCTGAGCTCAGTAAATCCATTAGTTCTCTGAGTAGCTTTTTCAGCCCTTAAATACACCTCATCACACGAGGCTTCTCTGGTGGCGCAGTGGTTGAGAGTCCGCCTGCCGATGCAGAGGACACAGGTTTGTGCCCTGGTCCGGGAAGATCCCACATGCTGTGAGCCATGGCCACTGAGCCTGCGCGTCCGGAGCCTGTGCTCCGCAACGGGAGAGGCCACAACAGTGGGAGGCCCGCATACCGCAAAAAAAAAAAAAAAATACACCTCACCACATGCAATATTCACTCAATATACCCTCAACATTAAACTGTATTAGTCCTTGCAGTAACAGCAATTCAAACTCATTTTACTAGGCAAATGAACTCTCTTGAGTCTAATTTTAGAAATTTCAATTGCCTAAGTTTCTAACTTCTAAAAATGTCTTAATAATGGGAAAACTCAAAGAAAATCAATAAAGCCGAAAAAAGAACCTCTAAGGGCTACTGGAACCCAAAAGTCAGAAGCTATCTCCACATAAGAGAGGGACACAAGATAAACTAGTGCTGAAGTTCGTGAACATGACCATTCCCACATCTCCTCCACCTGGTTATTAAGAGAGGACGTAAACATAAAGGCATAACCACAGTGATCTCTTCCTCCCCGTGAGCCCCACAGGAGTTGCTGCTTCTAAGGTCTCCAAGAGCATAAACTGTGTCAAGTTCTTTGCTGTAGCCACACCACTTGGCACATGATAGGTGTACAAGAAATATTTAATAAATAACACGGTTAAGAAGCTGCTAACCACCTCTCGTTATTTATATTCAGTACTGAATTGAACCAATGTGAACACATTAAAAATATAAGAAAATGAACTATTTGGGAAATGGTCTAAAAATGAACATTAAAAAATGGAAGTTTCAAACCAGAGTTTGGTTAAGATGGTAAAGAACACAAGAAGCCTCAGGACATAAACCTAAAATAAATCTTATATTCTATGTCAGGTTTAAAAAAAAATAGTCATACCTGTACATCTAGTCGCCATTCAAGGCTGTGGTAACTGGGAAGGTCTGGTGCCAATTCACTCAAGATAGTTCTGATCTCTTTTCTGTTGTCCAGATAAAGCTGAAGCAACAATTTGTTCAATTCCTCAGAGAATCCAAGAACAAAAATTGAGTCTTGGAAATCCAGTTCAGAAATCTACAAGTGAATCGAGTTTAACAGAACATCAAAATTTATTTTTGTCTAGGAAATGCTGAAATACTGGAAATATGCAAAAGGATATGAAATCCCTTATTTCTTTCTGTCCAGTAGAAGAAATAACACTTCTTAGTAAAAGGCAACCCTTGCCCACTATTCCAAATTCCGAGTTTCTGATACATAAAAATAAGCAACAAAAACAAAAATAAACTAGTGGGACTATTTCAAATTAAAAAGCTTCTGGGGGCTTCCCTCGTGGCGCAGTGGATAAGAATCTGCCTGCCAATGCAAGGGACACAGGTTCGATCCCTGGTCTGGGAAGATCCCACATGCTGCAGAGCAACTAAGCCCATGCACCACAACTACTGAGCCTGCCCTCTAGAGCCCACAAGCCACAACTACTGAAGCCTGCGTGCCTACAGCCCGTGCTCCGCAACAAGAGAAGCCACTGCAATGAGAAGCCCGCACACCGCAATGAACAGTAGCCGCCACTCACCACAACTAGAGAAAGCCCGCGTGCAGCAATGAAGGCCCAACGCAGCCAAAAATAAAAAAATTAATTTATAATAAAAAATTGAAAAAATAAAAAGCTTCTGCGGGGCAAAGGAAAGCATCAACAAAATAAAAAGGCAACCTACTGAATGAGAGAAAATATTTGCAAATCATATATCTGATAAAGGGTTCATATCCAAAAAATATAAAGAACTCATATAATTCAATAGCCAAAAAACCAAACAATTCGATTAAAAAATGGGCAGAAGATCTGAATACACATTTTCCAAAGAACACATACAGATGGCCAACAGGTACATGAAAAGATGCTCAACATCATTAATCATCAGGGAAATGCAAATCAAAATCACAATGAGATATCACCTCACACCTGTTGGAATGGCTCTTATCAGAAAGACAAGAGATAAGTGTTGGCGAGGATGCGGAGAAAAGGGAACCCTCGTGCACTGCTGGTGGGAATGTAAATTGGTGCAGCCACCATGGAGAACAGTATGGAGGGTCCTCAAAAAATTAAAAATCGAACTGCCACATGATCCAGCAGTACTACTTCTGGATATTTATCCAAGAAAACAAAAACACTAACTTGAACAGATACATGTGCCACCATGTTCACTGCATCACTATTTACAATAACTAAGATAAGGAAACAAACTCATTGTCCATCAACGGAAGAATGGATAAAGAAATTGTAGCATATATACACGATGGAATATTATCCACCATATGAAAAAGTGAAAGAATAAAATCTTGCCATTTGCAACAACACGGATGGAACTCAAGGGCATTATGCTAAGTGAATTAAGTCAGAGAAAGGAATTCTGTATGGTCTCTCTCACACGTCAAATCTTAAAAAACAAAAACAAAAACAAAAAACCCACCAAGGTCATAGATACAGAGAACAGACTGGTGGTTGCCAGAGGCAGGGAGTAGGAGGTGGGATGGGAGAAATAGGTGAATGGTGCCAAAAGACTTTTTAAAAAAAAAAGCCTTAGTGAGAGAATGAGGGCTCCTGGTTTGGCTAAGTCCTAGTGGGATACTCAGATGCTGACTGGACACAAAGAAATCATATATTTGGCCAGGAAAGGGAACTGGGAGAGAAGGGCATGGAGCCACAGTTTTGCTGTCCAATGGTTCAGCATTACTGGGGACCAATCCTAATACTGGCACTGACCCTCAATAGGATAAAAGGAAGCTGCCAACAGCAGCCTTGCTTTTACTCCCTTATTGGATGATTGAAGTGAGGAGGGGATAAAAAGGTGGAGCAAAGGTAGAGAAAGCACAGTCTTTCTCTGTGCTCCTCTTCCTTTCGTTGTATTCAGCTCAGCCACTTTAACACTCTACTTTCCTTGCTCTTTTCCAATTTCTGCATGCCACCCTTTCTTTTTCAGGTTTGTTAATGTCATTAGACTTGTTTCTGTTTATAATAGCATAGGCTTGTGTATTTTATCCCTTCAACAAATATTTTCTGAGATCCTACTGTGGGATGGGTCTTGTGCTAGGAAGACAGAGCTGAACAAAACCAACAGGCTCATTGCCTTTGTGGAGGAGGTTATAGTCCTGGGGGCCGGGCAGGTTGGGGTAGCTGACCAATCACACCAGGTGGTCTGCCAGAAGATTCAGTTTGACTACACAGAAGAGCAGGAGGCTAGAGATCTATTCTCAGGAGGAGAGCAGCCAGGAAAGCTCTGGATAGGGCCAGAACGGATTGCTTAGGGCAGCAAAAATGAGTTCCCCATATCAATTAATGGAACATGGATTTATGGGACAGGGCGTTTGCTGTGGACCACCTCTAAGTGTAATATTTTAGGAAGTCTGTCAAAAGGGATCTATAAAATAAATTTTTTATGAAGTTGTTCATAACCACTCAAATAATCTAACTGTTAGGGTGATAACAACTCAAGTAAGCCACACTGCATCTTTTATCACTTCCAGCATTAGGATTCACTATCAAAATGTTGAGCCTCTAGTGTAGTTTCCCAAATTCGCCTGATCTTAAGAATCACTTGAGGCACCTTTGGAAAAGATTAATTCTCAAGCCGCTCCTCTGGAAAGCCCGATTCAATAGGTTTGAGGTAGGAACCGGGAATCTGGTTAACAAGGGTCACACGTGATTCTTACAGAAAGGTAAATCTGAGACACAGTAGAATGGATAATATGTAAATTAAGCCCCATGCAGCCACCTGTAATTTTTCAAATATTTTTTCTATTATGAGCATGAAGATACAAATACTGGTACAAGATCCCTCAGCTAGCATTAAGGAAGGGGAAACTAACACTTAAAAAAAAATGGAAAAAATTTTCTCAATTCTCCAACAAGCTATATACTGCTAATATGCAAAAAATTAAATCATTTCATTCTCCCTCCTCTTGGGATACATACTATAGTATATGGTTTAATAACATGCAGAATTTGAGGCAATTCTAATTTATACTGACAAGAGGTGTTCATGCCAGCAGATCACATTATAGTCAGATTGCTTAGGCATGGCTTCACTAAATCCATTATAAACCAGTAACAACATTACTGAAATGAGCAGATCCTGCCAGGACTGATGCAGAGTATACTGAACCTCCTTAAGGTCCTGCTAATACAAAACAGTCCACAAAGCCCTTACCATGAGCTTTGAACTTTCAGTGAGGAGGTGTATTAATCCTTCCACACCATGTTGGACAGTGTCACTACTCACGCTGAGTTTTCCTGAAAAAAGAGGAAAAATGAGCAAATAAATTATGTGGTATTTATTCTTTTATTCAAACTCTAAAGGGTAAATGTTATCTATTATTCCATGTTTTCAAACACTGCAATTATTATAAAAAAATAATGACTTGGTAATAGCCTCCTGTTCATTCTCCACTCCCAGCCAAATGCCTTCAGTATTTCCCACCATGTAACCTTTACAAAAACAGACCCGTGGAGACAATACCAGGCGCACAGTCCTTCTCTTGAGTGCGCCGCTACTTCAAGCCTGGCAGAAGGGACAATAATAGAAACCGTCCCTCCTCCACTGGGGTAAAAATCCTTCAGCAAAAGTAGATGTCTGAACAACTGATAATAACCAAACACTTGTATATTTATGGTTCACCCAGCTATTCCACACACTTGGATGCAGGTAAGCATCACAGTATTCTGACAGATGGTATTATGTCCATTAACACGTCAGGAAATCGACTTAATACAAGCTTTTAAAAACTCACGATACTTAGGGGACGGGCAGGATTTGCGCCCTGACTGAAAAGTCCTTCTGCTTTTATTGTGCCACAATGGGAATAAGACCTTTAGAGTCCCAATAACCCCTTCCCCTCCAGGGGGACAGAGAACGCACTTCTCCGCGCGGTTTTCAGCGCTGTGCCTCCCCCCTGCTTACTCGCAGCGCCTTCGTAGATCTTGGGGTTAGAGCCACGCCTCAGGAACTCCACCGCAATTCGCCCAAACTCAGCGACCACTGCAACGGAAGCCAGGAGACCCTTAGCACCGGACGCTCCCACCGATCCCCTCCCAGACCACCAGAGCACCACCCTCCGCCGCCGGGCCCCCTGACCCGCGCTGTCCACTTGCGGCAGGAAGGCCAGGTGCTCCTTGTGCTCCTCCGACAGGTCCAGCAGCATCTTCTCTGGCTAGCCGATTTTACCCCGCAGCGCTAACCCCGTCCTCGCCACTTCCGGGCCCTGAGTCCAAGCGTAAAAAGGCTCCGGCGTCTCAGCGTCTCGAGCTTTCGGTTCCGGCTTACCGCCGTCCTACACTCAAATGCCTTCCGCGGCTCAGACTGGGATGAGAAGATTCTTCCGTTCGCCAGGCAGTTGTAGCCTGCCTGGTGTAGAATGCTGTGCTCTGAGGAAGATGAAAAGAAGTTTAAAATTCGACACGCCCCGCCCCCGTCCCGTGGAGCTTACATTAATAATATCAGTAGCTAACATTTATTAAGCACTATGTCAGGAACTGTTCTTACATTTAACTTATTTAGAGTTCACGAGAAACTTATGAGGTAGGTACCATTATTGTTCCCATTAGAGACAAGGAAACTGAGGGACAGGTCAAGCAGTTGAAAGTAACTTTTATAGAGCTATTAGTTTGTACAGAGCTGTTGTATATGTTATCTTACTTGATTTATCTTATTTAATATGCTCAATAGCCATAACATCGTTTGTACTGTGCGGGCCATCGTTTGTACAGATGAAGAATCCAAGTTCCAAAGACTATGTCATAAGCCAGTGACAGAGCTGGAAGGAGAAGCTCGGAGCCCTTGATCACCTGCTCCAAAACCCATCATTCTGCACAGCAGGCTGAAAGCTGAAGGTTGGTAACAAGTTCTGTGAGTGATTATAAATTAGGATAAAGACAGTGAAGAGGAGGAAGACGACGACTACGCTTGTCTTTATTTTTATGTGATGGGGGCCCTGTGAGAATCTGGTTCCTTTACCAACTCACTCTTCTCACCTGTTGTGGTGCAAATATAAGAGACTACAGAATGGCTAATTGATAGTCTTCAAATCTCACTGTCTTGGTGGGGGAAAGCAAGGGGGAACAGAGAGAGAGAGAGACAGAGAGAGACTTCACATCTGCAGTTGTTATATCTAGGGCTACAGAGAGAAAGCTGTCTATGTATATGCCAAGCTTTCTATACTCCATGTCTCTGAGCAGAAGCGAAAACTGGAAGAGTTTTTCAGCTGTGCTCTCTGTGTCTACCTCATCCCTTACATCTGACTGAAACTGAAACTGTTTCCCATACTGGGGCACAGAAAGGCAGGTCTTTAAACTTGTTAGTTAAGTCTTGAAGCAGCATTTGCAGAGAGAGCCCAATTCTTACTTAGACTATGTTGCAGATCAGCAAAAATGGCATTTTCTGAAGAAGGTTTTATACATACATTATTGAGAAAATGTCCATTATATACAGGGAATAAGGAATGCCAAAATGAATTTACAAATAGGGGTAATATTATGCCAATATAAAATAGCATTTCTTCCCTGTGATCTCAGGGACTGAAGTGGGAGTGAAGGTGGGGGCGGGGCAGGGGTGAAGGTAGGAAATAAGGATTAACAGAATGGGGTGGTCAAGGAAGGTGGTCAAAAAGCCAAGTTATGGCTGGGGGAACCAGCCTAGGAGTTAAAACTTCCTACGAGGGGCTTCCCTGGGGGCGCAGTGGTTGAGAGTCCGCCTGCCAATGCAGGGGACGCGGGTTCGTGCCCCGGTCCGGGAGGATCCCACATGCCGTGGAGCAGCTGGGCCCGTGAGCCATGGCCGCTGAGCTTGCGCGCCCGTAACGGGAGAGGCCACAACAGTGAGAGGCCCGCGTAATGCAAAAAAAAAAAAAAAACTTCCTACGATAATGTACAGAGTGACTTTCTGTTACCAAATGTTATGTATTTCTTTAGAGGTAATTACCTGAGTGAAAACTCAAAAGTCTAGGTTCCAGCTCTGGCTCTGACTCTCACTACCTGTAGGGCCTCCAACAAGTTATTCTTATATGTTATAAATTTAACCTCATCATTTGTAAAATGGGTTTGTTGGTTTTTTTTTCTTTTGCGGTATGCGGGCCTCTCACTGTTGTGGCCTCTCCCGTTGCGGAGCACAGGCTCCGGGCACGCAGGCTCAGCAGCGGCCATGGCTCACGGGCCCAGCCGCTCCACGGCATGTGGGATCTTCCCGGATCAGGGCACGAACCCGTGTTCCCTGCATCGGCAGGCGGACTCCCAACCACTGCGCCACCAGGGAAGCCCTAAAATGGGTATTTTAATGATGACTGTCCTTCTGTGCCATGCAGGGCTGCTGTGATGCTCAGATGAATTAATAAATTCATATTAAGAAATTGATTTTGATGATCAACTTAAACAATAAATTAGCATTAACAAATGATTTGGTAACTGAAACATTTATATTTTATAGGAGCAGATTTTGTGTACTCAGGTCATTGGGAATTCCATGAGCATGATCATGCTAAAATCCATTCATTTAATATAACAAAGATTTATAGAGCAATGACTCAAAGCTCAAGTATATGCTATACCTTGGCAACTTAGAGATGAATAAAACACTTTCCTTGCCTTCTAGGAGATGATAGTAAAGTAAAGGAGACAGTCAAGTAATCTGAACACAGTGTGATGAGTGGTAATACCCGAGGAAGGAACAAAATGACCTGGAGCAAAGAGAAGGTGACACTTAACTTTGATTTAAATAAGATTCAGGTTTAGAATAAATGTCCCATGGTATCCTGTCTATGCTGATAATAATGCTTTACAACTGTATAATATTATAAGAAAATGAGATCTTAATGTCACTTCATGCTATCTTACTAGGGCTAAAGTGAAGAAAGGATAAATACTCTGTAATTTTTCAGTTGATTCTGGCAAGGAAGAAGGCTTCATATCAATTGTCCTCTCACATTTTCTCCTTATCATCCTCCACCTCCTTTTTTTCCTCTCATATTTCCCCATATTTCTTTCTTCTTCATAGACTCTCCTGCCCCAGAATCTTTGCACCAGGCACCTCCTTGGTTACGTTTTCAATGATACATAAAATAGTATCGTCTCTCGCAAGGAATCTCAGATTAATTCAGCACACTGTCAAGGGGAAGGAAGCATGGTGACACCCATCACTCACATGAATTGCCCTCTCATGAGTCTGAGGCTGCCGTCAAATGCATGAATTAGCTCCTGAATTTTTTTTTCATTATTTTAGTTAACTTTTTCAACTGGATGATAAAATGCATACAGAAAAGGATACAAATTCTTAAAAAATACTTCTTGTTGAATTTTCTCAAATTGAACATATCTGTTAACCCAGATCAAGAAATAGAATGTGGGCTTCCCTGGTGGCGCAGTGGTTGAGAGTCTGCCTGCCGATGCAAGGGACACGGGTTCGTGCCCAGGTCCGGGAAGATCCCACATGCCGCGGAGCGGCTGGGCCCGTGAGCCATGGCCACTGAGCCTGCGCGTCCGGAGCCTGTGCTCCGCAACGGGAGAGGCCACAACAGTGAGAGGCCCGCGTACCGCAAAAAAAAAAAAAAAAGAAATAGAATGTTACCAGTACCCCAGAACCTTTGCTGTGCCCTGTTCCACTCACTGTCTCCTCTTGCTGTCTCTACAATGAACTAATACCTATATACATGCTGCCTTACAACATCTCTTTGGTATCATCTTTGTATTTTCTTTTGTATTAACCTTCTATGTGCCCCAACCCCATAATATCAAACTAGAAACCTAAAGTTATTTTTTTAAATGAGATTTAGATTTTAGGTGCTTCTGACTATTGTAACAGAATCTATCTTAAAAATCTTCCTAACAGATAGCATCAAAAATATGCAATATTTAAGAAAACAATAAGTGATTTGTAAGACCTCTACACTAAAAACTAAAAATCATTGATGAGAGAAATCATGGAAGACTTAAATGGTGACATATACTATGGATAGAGAAATATATCGTGGGCTGTAATATTCACTATTATTAAGATGTCAGTTGTGACCAATCAAAATCCCAACAGGCATTTTTATAGAGGCCGACAGGTTTATTTTAACAATCTACTTGGAAGTTCAAAGGACTGAGAATAGCCAAACTAAAGTAGGAAAAAGGGCAAAGTTATTCATACTACCTGATTTCAAGGCCCACAGTAAAGCTATAGTAATTAAGACAGTGTGGTTTTAGTATAAGGAAAAGTAAATAGGCCAATGGAATGGAATAAAGAGTCTGGAAATAGATCCATACATATATTGTAAATTGATTTTTTGACAAAAGTACCAAGGTATTCAATGAGGGGAAAGAACTTTCAACAACTTGCACTAGAACAATTTGATAAACTTATGGAAAAGAATTGACTCTCACCTCACATCACACACACACACACAAAAATAATAAAAAAAAAATAATTAAGGATGGATTATAGACCTAACATAAGAGCTAAAACTGTGAAACTTCTAGAAGAAAACAAGAATATCTTCATGAATTTGGGGTAGGCAGAGATTTCTTAGAGAGGAAGCAGAAAGCATGAACCATAAAAGGAAAAAATGATAAATTGTACTTCATTAGAGTTAAAAACTTTCATTATCAAAAGACACCATTAATAAAATGAAAAAGAGAGCCACAGATTGGGAAAATGTATTTGCAATACATGTATCTGACAAAGAACTTGGGGGACTTCCCCGGTGGCGCAGTGGTTAAGAATTTGCCTGCCAATACAGGGGACACTGGTTCGATCCCTGGTCCAGGAAGATCCCACATGCTGCGGAGCAACTAAGCCCGTGCGCCACAACTACTGAAGCCTGCACTCTAGAATCCAACTACTGAGCCCAAGTGCAGCCAAAAATAAACCAACTTGTATCATGAGTATATTGAAATCTCTGATAAACCAATAATTAAAAGATAAACAACACAATTTTAAAATATTTATTTATTTATTTATTTTTGGCTGCGTTGGGTCTTCCTTGCTGCACACGGCTTTCTCTAGTTGGGGTGAGTGGGGGCCACTCTTCGTTTTGTTGCACGGGTTTCTCATTGAGGTGGCTTCTCTTGTTGCAGAGCACAGGCTCTAGGTGTGTGGGCTTCAGTAGTTGTGGCACGTGGGCTTAGTTGCTCCGCGGCATGTGGGATCTTCCGGGACCAGGGCTCGAACCCGTGTCCCCTGCATTGGCAGGCGGATTCTTAACCACTGCACCACCAGG